CCCGCTCCGGGCCGCGCGGGACGGGCGGCTGGAGGGCGGTGGTCGGAGCGTCCAGGGGCCTGTGGCGCCGCCGCGGCGCGCCCCGGGAGGTGCAGCGGGAGCGCGAGCGAGCCGCCGCGGCCCCTGGGGGAGAGGCCAGCGCGGGCGACCTCCCTCTGCTCCGGCTTCACCTAGAGCCCTCCTCGCTGCCCCGCACCCCACCCTTCTGGCGCACACCTCCCCACACGTACACACACGCGCAGGCACCCGCGCGCTCACTCACACGCACACCCCGAGTGGGTGTGATCTAAGCGCCGAGATGCTCTCTCGCGGCCAGAGTTCACACTCGGCCTCAACAAGCAGGCAGGCTGCCCTTCGGGCTACGCAGGAGATAGAACTTCCTACGGAATCACCGTATACTCAGAGCAGAAACTAGAGAACACTGGCTACTTAGGGTTTTGGTTTCTCTTGGGCCCGTCCAATTCGAAATCCTCCAAAGAGGGAGTTCAGAGAAATAACGCTAGGGTTTATACGTTCAAAATGCTGCATGCACTAACTCTGCTTTCTGTCTGTGGAGGTCGGAAAGATCTTTGAAACCCACAAGGAAGCCAAAAGTGCTTTTAACCTACTCCTCCAACTGGAATCCTTATGAGAGCTGACAAATAACTGATTTAAGCATTATCCCTCTTTCCTCCTCTTCAGTGTTCTCTTACGAACTTTTTCTTAACCCTTTAAATATTCCAGACTAGGTAGCACAAGGTAGTAAAATGGCCTGGCCTAATTAATAAACTGGCTCATTGATGGGAATCGGGAGGAGTTCGTTACATTACCATAACCGTATTTATCTCCAAAAGGGTTTCAAAGACAACAATTACTTTTGAGCCAGTACTTAATTATGTGTTGATCTATCTTTATTTTACAGGAAGTATTAGTCACCCAGGCTGGTGTGTTTTAGTTCCCTAAAGCCAATGAAAACATTTTGGGGAAGCCAGCCCTTGTTTTTTCGTCTTGAGAGGGAATTCAGTTTACACATCCATGTAATAGGAAAGAGTTGTGAAGTGTGTAGCATTTGTCTTGAAGTTGTTATTGGTTTGTTCTGAAATATTTCCCAAACCAGTTACAAATGCGAGAAAGGCTACTGATCATGCAATACCAAGAAAACAGTGCAACACCAAAGCACATTCCTATCCTTTGTGTCTGATGCTCAGTTGCACCCTAGCGGGATGAACCCAATCAATCAGTCGAAATGCCACCTCATTTATCAGTCTGACCCAAGAACGAAGAATTCTTACTTGGAAGAATAAATGCTATTCAATAATTTTTTTTTCCCTTCCATTTTGGATAGTTTCCTGTTAACTACTGTCTCCTCCAAATGATACCTCTTGTCTTTGATGTTCTAAGGGCTGGGATAAGAAGATACATGTGTGTGCCTTTTGTGTATGCCATCTGATAACTATTGCTCTATTCTTTCAAAAGAGATACAAAAGTAATCTGTATTATCCAGGTGACAACAGGCTAAACGTAAGACCAGAGTAACAATAATGAATACAAAAAGTGTAACTCCAGAGTGTCTATAGGAATCAAACACCTTAAGGTCTTCCCATAGTTTTGGGACTCCTTCCCCCATACATATTTGTCATGGGAGTTCCAAGAACTAGTTCTTGCAGTCCCCACCACCTTGTTCCTTATCCCTTGGGCTTTAGTTCACTGGAGATGGCTCTCCTTGCCACTGAACCAACTAGAAATCACTGCTGGAAATCCTGAAGGCTTCCCCAAACACACAGCCCTTCTTGCCATGACTTCATTTCCATGGGATTCATCCATCTTTGTGAGAATAAAATAGATCCATGGCATGTCATACCTCCTCCCTCCAGACAGACTCAGACTTGCCTGAATCCTGGGCTCAGCCTCCCTGGTGTTCAATCTGGGACACTGGCAGCATGGAAATGAGTTAAAATGCGAAGTTAAAATTCTGGTCAGACCATCAATTTCCCCTGAAATGAAATGCATGAAGCACCTATAATGATTGTGCTGACAGGATTCACTTTTTTAAAAGGATTGGTTGAAAACATAGTCACCATAACATAAATTTCACTCATCTACCACAAGCTTAATATTCTTGTAACTCAGGCCATCTGCCCCGCATCAGGCTGTGTACAGTTGTTAGTACAACATAAACACTGCCACTGCCACTTTTATCTCTCAATACTTTCTAATCTGCAATGAGCTGTGCACCTTCCCTAAAACCAAGACTAGCATTAGAAGACGATGTCAAGTGTGAGAACTGACATAGTCAGCTGCTTTAGGTCGTTATTAAACATTATTTTTTTTTATTACCTACTTTTATTATCCTGGCCTTTCAACATGACTTGAAAATTTTTATTCAGATATTAATTCGAACATAAAAAAGCTTAGATTTATTAACTTATTAGAAAGATGTTGCGAGATGGCAGAAGAGCTGTGCATCATTTTAAGTTTACATATTGAGGGTAAAACATCATTTCTTCTTGCCTGTTGTGGAAAAGAAATGCGTAACATTTAAATACCGTAAGATAATTATCCAGGGAATACCTGACCTGTTTTTCCTCCTGTCTTTCATCTATCCAAACAAAATTTTTCAAACAAATTCATTTCCTGAAGAGGAATAAACAGGATGGAATGGTCTACTAGGTCTGCTTCTGAAAGACACAGTTGAATGTTGGTCCTCACTTTCCTGTTCTGTCCTCTTCACCCGTGGAGGAAGAGAACCTGGATTCATTAAGGAAAAGGGCATCAAGAAGAAAAGAATGGGACACAATTGTTTCCCTTTCTTTTGCCCCCCTAAAGTCCCTAAATCCAAATAGTAGGCTTTTGTAAGATGAAGTTAAAAATAAAACAAACCAGTACATTCCTTCCGCTTATAAAATAAAAGTCTAAATGTTTGGAATATAGAGGAAACCAAGAAGAAAAAGGAGGACAAGGTGGGGTGGGAAAAGGAAGAAAAGGAGGAAAGTATGAAGGAAGGAAGGAAGGAGGGAAGGAAGACATGAGACGAAGAACTTCAGCCAATACTCACTACCCCAAATAACTACTTTAACATATTGAGATATTTCATTCTAGTGTTTGCATCTGTGTGTATAAAAATATACTAGACAGTATACTCTCTTTTCCTGCTTTTTTTCTGCTGTTTTTTAACACTTAGTAATATATCCTGAATAGTTTCCATATAATTAAAACATGTGTACATCATTATGATTCGTGACCATATAGAATTTTACTATGTACATGCGTCACAATTTATTTAATGAATTCTATTTTATTTCTTAAATTAGATTATTTATGATCTCAAGGTATATAACACTTAATATATGTTAATATTTCTGCTATAACCTTTGTTACATTCCTAATATACCATAGTATAAGTTCTAAAATTAAATTGCTTCAGAAAAGGGTAAATGTACTTTTGTAGCTTTTGGCACATACTATCCCAGAAACTTAACACCAATTTATAGTCCTATCAATAATGAGACTATGAGTCTACTCTCCTAATCATTCTAAGACTTTTAAAAATTCAAATGCTGTAAATAACATCTTGTGTTTTAATGTGTGTATTCTTTTAAATAAAAAAGGGCAAGATCAAATCTCCTTTGGATATTTACAGTCTCCTTTGGATATGTACATTGTTATGATTCTCTATTCCTGAAATTATGGTCTGACAGCTTCCTTTCCTCATCTTATTTTTGAATCTCCTCTTTAGTCTTCCAGTGACAATAGTGGTCTAAAAATGTGCAGAGATAAACTCAGTCATAATTAATACTTCTAAATCCATAATACCAATCCCTCATTTCCAAAATACAGATTTATTTATTTGAGTGCACAAACTCATTCCCAAATGAGTATTTTACCAAGGAAATCCTGTATCTCAACCCACACTGTGGAAGCTCTTTAAGACAAAAAAAAGATCCACTGACAATGTAAAATTGACCCTTCCTGAACAGAAAACCAGTTCCCTGATCACTGAAGGAGTCACCAAGAGCTTGCATTTTTAAGGGCAACACAAACTTTCCACTACTGTGGCTTTGGTTTCCCAGAAAGATGTCAGCCCTGGCTCTGCATTTAGAAATCCCTAATCTCCTCTTCCCAAGCACATAGTGACATGAATAGAGAGGCATGTTCTCTCTGTTCCTCAGCTTCTCTTTCTAAAAAGGGTGTCAAGTCACAGCCTTCCCCTGACAGGCTTTGTTTATAGCAGAAGTCAGAGAAATTTACAGCCTGGCTCCTCCCTGGCCCCGAGACTGGAATGGTTCATTGGTTTAGTAAGCAAGAGCAAGATAAATCTCTTTTTGTACAGCCCCCAGGATCATCGTTGCTAGGTAATTCACAGGGAAGGAAATAATTTTGTTCAAACTAAAAGATAATCAAGCATCCAAGTAACAGAGCCAAAGATGCACTTGTACAAAACAACACTTTTAGCTCTGAAGAGCAAAGATTTTCTTAGCAAGAGGAAATCTCTTCCAAATTAGGAAAGAGGTAAAAGGTAATTCAGAGAAGATTTATTTAGAACAATGGGAAGTGCTTACAAAATTATGCTAAGTGAAAAAGGGCAAGAAAAATGGAATGTGTGATATGACTACAACTCTGTAGGCATGTGTATTACAAAGACCAAAAAAATAGCAGTTATTGTATAAGGATGATGTTGTTATAATTGTCTTCTTCCTAAGATTTCTAAAATATTATATTGCTTTTATATTGGACAAAACGGAAAAAGAAGATTTTTTAAAAGAGGGAAACAGTTTCATCCTAATGAACAGAGGAATGGGCTTGGTGTTAATAAAGGGTATTTGCGGGGCGCCTGGTTGGCTTTGTGGGTTAAGCGTCCGACTTTGGCTCAGGTCATGATCTCACGGTCCGTGAGTTTGAGCCCTGCGTGGGGCTCTGTGCTGACAGCTCAGAGCCTGGAGTCTGTTTCAGATTCTGTGTCTTCCGCTCTCTCTGCCCCTCCCCTGTTCATGCTCTGTCTCTCTCTGTCTCAAAAATAAATAAACGTTAAAAAAAAATTTTAAAAATAAATAAAATAAAGGGTATTTGCATGTACACTTGTGATAGTTAACGTAAGCAAGTTTTCTTATTTGTGCTACAATTCAGTTTAAGAAACATTTCCTGAATGTCTATTAGATCCTATGTCAAGCTCTGGAAAATTCAGTTTACTTATTTATTCAATGGAGAAAATAACTCTTTTCCCAAATTTTCCTTTATTATGAACTTTAAAGCATCTATGAAACATTTTAAACTGTCCAGAGCATATCTTGCCTGTATATAGAACCCCAGTTCCTAGTATTTGACACATATTTAGTTCTCAATAAAACATTTTTAAAGGACAAAAACAATGATAGAATGGTCATCTATAGTTATGTAAGCATTATATAGAACTATGGTTCTCAAATTATGTGCCAAGTTGCCCTGAGGCACAGCAGCAAACTGCCAGGGATACCGTGAGATATTTAAAATTCTTGGGGCGCCTGGCTGGCTCAGTCAGTGGAGCATGTGACTCTTGATCTCAGGATCATGAGTTTGAGCCCCACGTTGCAGGCAGAGGATTACTTTTTGAAATTTTAAAAAATAAAATAAAATCTTTGGGAATCACGGCATTGCTGTCAGACACCATGCAAACTATGATTATTAAGTTGTCTGGACCCAATTACTCTTAGGGATTTCTTTTTGACTAAAGAGCACCATGAAAAATAACTGAGGCACATGGGTGCCATAAACTGAGGAAGTCTGGAACCTTAGATTGAAAACCTGAGACACAGGGCAGAAACAACAGGATAAACACCGTAAACTCTTAGAAATTTATACTTTAAACTGACAAGATACACTCCTATAGTAAAGGATTAACCTTGCCTAAAGAAAGGTTTGGTCCTCAACCCCAGTTCCTAGGAGTAAACTCTAGGCCTTGCCTGCAGGAAATGAGTCTCTGTTTGCCTGGAGTCCTTAGGCCATGCAACGTAGTCTATGCTAACAATGTTATTTATGGTGAAGGTCTCGGGTCATGTGGTATCAATCTGGCTTCTGGAAGGACTGGGAACTAAGATTAACCACTTGGGTGGTTAGCCATGTGTACATCACTGACTTCCAATAAAAACCGTGGACACCAAGGCTTGGTGAGATTTCGTGGTTGACAGTATTCCATTTATAATGTCACACATCGTTGCTGAGAGAAATAAGCCCCATTCACGGAATTCCCCTAGGAGAGGGCAGCTGGTAGCTTCATGCATGGTCTCTCCTGAACCCTGCCTTGTATAGGTTTGCCTGTTGCTGATTGTAATCTGTGTCCTTTCACTGTAATAAACCATTACTGTTGAGTAGACATGTTTGTTGAGCTCTGAAAGTCCTTCTGAAGAATCAGTGAAACTGTAGGTGGCCTAGGGAACTTCATGAACTGCACCACTACAAAAATGGAAGTTCATTAACTTTCAACGTTTTTTGTTGTTGTTTTTTTTTAATTTTTTTATTTTTGGGACAGAGAGAGACCGAGCATGAACGGGGGAGGGGCAGAGAGAGGGAGACACAGAATCGGAAACAGGCTCCAGGCTCTGAGCCATCAGCCCAGAGCCTGACGCGGGGCTCAAACTCACAGACCGCGAGATCGTGACCTGGCTGAAGTCGGACGCTTAACCGACTGCGCCACCTAGGCACCCCGGAAGTTTGTTAACTTTTATCGGTTTTCATTTTCCTTGTTTTTCCAAGCAGAGAGAAGTCATTGTAGAAGGTATTGTATCAGTTAGTGCAAGAATAAGACAATTTTAATATTAAAAAAGAGAAATGTATCACCTTGTTCTTATCACACAAGAAAGTTGATTTCCTCAGATAACATGGATAAGCAATGGGCTCTTTTGATTTGTGGCTGCTTGAAATTGGTTTTGACATTTTGCTTGCAAAATCTAGCAAAGGATTACATGATTCTGAAACTTTTTAAGCTGACAGCTTAAGCCATCCAGTTATATTTATTTTTAAAACATGGAAAATAATTTTATCTATTTATTTCTTAACACACTTGCTACCAGGTTGGAATGAGAGAACCCAGCTGCCTTTGGGGACTGTTAAATACCACAAGCTGTTTCTCAAACATTGTGGAATCAATAAAGCTCAAAATATTTTCTAAAATACTTTAAAAAAATTTCTCAACATGCAAGGATCTTAAAAAGCTTTTTATTCACATATTACTAACTCATTTACATTTTATTTTTTCTTATCTTCATAGGACTTTGGAGCTGTTATTATGCGTTTTATGGGAATGATGGTTTTATTCCATAATTATATAATGGAGAAGGCTCTAGACTGGGCATATTTATTATTTGTATCCGATTTCTATTTTGCCATTAATTGTCTATTTCTAGGCCTGTGTGTTTGCTTCTGTGAAATGGGCAGATTGAACTGGATGACTTTAAATTTCATTTCAATACTAAAATTACCATTTTCAGTTTAACCACTAGATATTAATCCATACTTTGTGCATATTATTGTGAAATGTATAGGTGAAGAGTTACAAATGATGACTAGAACTCAATCCATGCCCTGAGGAATCTCTCAGTTAAAGAGAGAAGACAGATGTCTAACTATAATATCAGTTAGATTTTGGTGGGTGTGTGGTTGTAGAACCATAAATTCAGGAGTATTGGAGTTGCAGTACAGGGGAGTTTCTGCCTTGGTAGATCACAGAATGTTTCGTGGAGGGCCTGGAAGATGAATTCTATTTTTCCAGATGGAGAAGGTGGTAAGGACAGTAAATATTTCGGTATAAGGAACTGTATGAGCAAACACATGATGGTGCCTTGAGTGGCAGCTAGTGGTCCTAGTGTCTAATCCTATGTGGCATGTAGAAAAAGGACAGGAGATGAGGCAGGGAAGATAAACTGTCACAAAATTGTTTAGTGATTTTGCTGGATAGTTCTATTTGTCCTTTTTTTTTATTTTATTTTTTTTTAATTTTTTTTTCAACGTTTTTTTATTTATTTTTGGGACAGAGAGAGACAGAGCATGAACGGGGGAGGGGCAGAGAGAGAGGGAGACACAGAATCGGAAACAGGCTCCAGGCTCCGAGCCATCAGCCCAGAGCCTGACGCGGGGCTCGAACTCACGGACCGCAAGATCATGACCTGGCTGAAGTCGGACGCTTAACCGACTGCGCCACCCAGGCGCCCCTATTTGTCCTTTTAAATACCCTTCTGCTTTTGTCTATTCTCTGCTCCTGGAGGCTGACACACAGGGACACATATCAATTGCCCTCTGCCTTCCAATGAAGTTCAACCAAGGGAAGGCACTAGCAGGTGATCAGAGGACTGGAGTGTTTATTCTGGCTCTCAATCAGCCAGGTCCTTGTAGGCTATCTGTACCCCTCTGTGGAAGGCCATAGGTATTATCACTGGCCTCTGGGAGTTTCTCCCTTCAGGCCAAAGGGAGGTGTATTAGTTTCATTGGTCTGCTGTAAGAAAATACTACAAACTGGATGGCTTAAAACAACAAAAACTTTACTGTCTCATAGTTCTGGAGGCTAGAAGTCTGAAATCAAGGTGTCTACAGAACCATGCACCCTCTAAAATCTGTAGGGGAGAATCCTTCCTTGCCTCTTCTAGCTTTGTGTATTTTCTAGCAATCATTGACATTCCTTGACTTGTGGAAGCATCACTTCAATCTTTGTCATCACATGGCCATCTTTTCCCTGTGTGTCACTCTTTATGTCTCTTCTCTTCTTCCTTTAGGGACATCAGTCATAGTAGATTATGGGCCCCCCCCCCCCCCCCACTGTGACCTTATATTAACTAATTACATCTGCAATGATCTTATTTCCAAACAGGAGAACATTCTGAAGTCCTGAGGACTGAGGCTTCACATTTCCCTTTGGGGGACACAATTCAACTAATACTGAGATGTAAGGCTCTCCACAGTTGCTAATCCCAGGGTACTGTTCTATCTTATGCAAGTGCTAAACCATGTCCACACCTTTGCCACTGGCTCCATTACTAAGGCCTCATCCTCTTACCCAGTCTGTGCCATCTGTTTTCTTGAGAGATTCTGATTATGTAGATTAGATTGTCTTGACAATGATTTGATTAGGTGTTGTGTTTTGTTTTAGACAGTGGGATATATTTAATAGGAGAGGAATGCTCAGTTCTGGGTTTAAAAAAAATAATGTGACAAAGTAAAATACACATTAGAGGAAAGAGAGACAGGAGGCAAGACACGAAGTAGAACCCTATTGTTGCATTGTCTTGTTGCAACATGCTGAGGTCTAAAGTGGGAAGCAACACCAATGGCCTCCTGTATTCTAGAGCAAAATGCAAAGTCTTCCTTACAGCCATTCCTATGGCTCCCCCTTTTCCCATACTATCTCTGCCCTCCACCTCTCCCTCACTCACTACCCAGACTCCAGACTCTCATTAGCTCTTTGCTCTTCTTCAAATGTCCCACTCATACTCTACCCCATGGCTGGGGATGTTCTTGCTCCTTGTCATATGCTTGGGCCCTTCTAACTGTCTTCTGGTCTCTGCTCAGCATGTTCCTCTATTACCGAGGGCTTCCTTAACCAACCTTAAAAAAATATCACCATCCTCATGTACTTCATCCCCAGTGGTTTGTAGCTCTTTTGTTTTCCTCTATAATCCTCATCATGTGAGGACTATATATTTCTTTATTTCTTAATTGTCGCCCTCTTTCTTATATTTTAAGCACCATGAGAACAGAGGTTTTTTTTTCCTGTTTGCCATTCTGTCCCTAGTGCCTGGCACGTAGTAGGTGCTCAACATTTATGAAATGGTAGTCACCATTAGAGATAGAATCTGTGGGATATGGTAATAGATGTAATGTGGTGAAAGGGGCAAAAGGAATTAAATATGGCTCCAGGAGGTGTTTGGTTTTTTTGGGTTGTTGTTCGTGATTTCATACAGGTATGCCTTTCTACAACAGGAAGATTTGCCAGCCTAATTTAGTTATCTTTGTATTTTACACTTCAAAGAAAAGGTTAATCTTTCATTTTCAATGTCATGTAAAAGTCCAAGTGTTAGTCATAGAAACCAATAATTCCTGGGGTGCCTGGGTGGCTCCCAGCCAGTTGGTTAAGTGTCCCACTCTTGATTTCAGCTCAAGTCATGATCTCACGGTTGTGAGACTGAACCCCACATCAGACTCTGCTCTGACAGCAAGGAGCCTGCTTGGGATTCTCTCACCCTCTCTCTCTCTGCCCAGCGCCCACTCACTCTCTCTCTCAAAATAAATATACATTTAAAAAATAATAATCAGTAAGTCCTATGAGAAATGTGAATAGGTTGTGACTCATATGTTTTTTAAGATTGTGCTTCTGACTTGTATTCTGTTAGTCTAGCAACAGATTCTATTGATATTATTCTGTCTGTGGTTGTGGCTGGGAATTCTAGCACTTTTTCCCCACTTTCCTTTAACTTCATGTAACTTATGATGCCTGTGCCTCATCAGTTGACTCAGTGCTTCCTTTTTAACATCTAATACTTAAGTTAGAGAATTAGTCAATGTGTTTAATATGATTATCCAGCTTGTTCTGTGATGCATGATATTTGTTATTTAATTATTTTTTTCCAATTTTAGACATGACTAAGAAATAATGTGAAATTATAACTCAACAATGGTCGATGGCACGGGCTTTCCAATGCCTAAGAAACCGTCTAGCTTAGTGCCAGCTCTTCTCAAAATGACATCTGTGGAAGAAATTCTGCAGGCATAAGGGGACATAATCTGCTGACATCTAGTTGTCAGAGTGAATCATGGATTTACAAAACCTCTCAGACCCTATGCTTGAGAGGATTTATGTTATTATTTTAAGAATAGAATAATCCTTTTAAATTCATAGGGAAAATGAAGTAATAAAATTACGGTAATGTTTTAATGTTACCAGTGATAAGTAACTGTCAATGAACTTGAATCAAACAAGACTTGACTCTTGGGAAAACTACCTTTTTTGTTTTCCTCAGGAAATATTACGATCAGTAAAGTATTTAAAGTCTAGATATAATTCTTACCATTTATGCTCATTGAAATGCAGCAGTGAAGGTTCAGAGTGTATGACAATTCATTAGTTTTATTTATAATACTCACCTGAAAGACTATAAAATAAACCTTAAAAATGGGAACTTAGAAATTCAATTGTTTATTTAAAAATTATGTTAAAATTAAATTA